TATTATGGAGAATTATGAGGGGTATGTCCATGTTCCTACTATAAGTGAGAGAAGCACCACCAAGAATGAGCACCCAGAAAACTCATGCGTGACAGATCACATGAAATTCTCCTTACAAAGGGAGAGCACCTATCACAGTGGTCTAGTCTACTACAACTCAGCAGAGTCTAGTCAGGAGTTTAAAGATTGAGATTTGACCAGTAAGGGGAGCAATCTATGTCTCAGTAGCCGTATTCGTTAATGCAATAAGCAATGCCAAGAGATAGGTCAGGTACAAGTAACAGACCGACAACTAAAACAATGTTTGATATATTTATATTGCACAATAAAATAAATTAGAAAAAAAATAAATAAACCACATACACTATCAAATAATTGCACAAAATATCACTATCAATGATCAAACCCACAAGCCAGAAGGTCAATTTTGCTTATAAACATAAAAAACCATAAGTTTAAAATTAATCAGATAGCTATATATTTTTCAAGCAAAATATACAAATCACGGGGGCAAGTGGGAGCTGGGTCCAATACTAAGTCTCCGCAACTACAGTGGGTCTCATGGACAGTGCATACATGCTATGCAACCATAGGACTTGTGTGGTTATGTTATCATTTTCAATTTCTAGTATCCAGCGTGGGTATATAAGATAATTGATAAGACTGTTAAAACTTAGTGGCCTAGCAGATGATGAGTGATCCATAGATTTAAGCAATTTTTTTATGTCAAAAATGAAAAAATATAATCCACTTCGAAAGGTTGAACAATTCAGAAAATGTTTCATTGTTAAGAATAGTTGGAAATAAAATTCAACACACCGTCAAGCCAACTCCAACTCCTTGCGTGCCTCTTAATCTTGAGTAATTTGTAATTTTGCTCAAGAAACTTAGACTTCCAGAAATTAGATTCGTTTGTTATGTTAGGCAAAAACATTGACTATTTGACTTCGGCATTGGATGTCCATTGTCTAATTATTGATATTAGTGTTTTATGTCGTTTATTACTTTTTAATAGTCATGCTTAGTATTAAGAATCAAAATATATTTATGGACCTTAATGGGCGACTATTTGACTATTGCATTGAGCACTACGTGTTGCCTTTGCCTATGCTCATCATATTAATATATAAACCAAAGTAGATCTGATTCACATATCTTTGGCATCTCACAACCAGATGTTGTCTAGACATCATAAGCACGGTAGTGGCAAAGTCTCCAGACAGAATAACTACATACACTCAGAAACAGCAACATACTTCCGGTTGAATAAAATGCTAGTAAGACTCAGAGTATGCCATAATATAAAATCATGAATGAGCACATAAATCAGACACCTCTTTCCAACCAATATGATTTGCTTAACATAGTGTTTACATTGACAGCTTAGTCTTCTTAAGTTGTCCATTATCATGTAGTCATGCATTGGCTATTCAATATTTGGCCTTTCTGATAGTCAATATGCGATAGATTTGAAGGTTTCGAGTCTTCATATTCAAGTACTCTTCAAACATCAAACGAAAAACAGCTTTACTACATCATTCATTTCTCAAAAAACAAGCTGGTCACACTAATCTAAAAAGGAGGAAAATAAATGACACACCATCAATAAACCAAATGTTAATAATAACACCAATATTGAAAAACATGAAGCTTCAGATGCACATAAGTTTCCCATTGTTGTTTTCACTTCAATTGTGCATTTCCAACTATAAATATATCATATTTTTACCTCCAAAGTATCACTAGAATTAGTCTAAAAAAAAGGCTGTTGAGGATGGCATCATTGCCTAGTGCTGGGTAAAAAACTGTTGATGGACCGGAAGATATAATATTACTACCAAGATAACTGGAAGTTCCACATTCAAGTAATAACTAATAATGTGTATTTCAGATATCAAACTAAAATGAAAAAGTAAGTGAGTGAGTGAGTGGTGAGCCTTGGCGATGTGCTCGTAGCCTGGCCTCAAAGCGCAACACGAGGCCATGGCGCCTCATGAACATTCCGCCACAATTAGGGAAAACAAAAGAAAAAATAATAACAATACATATTTAAGAGTAGATTGTAGCATCATCTTCAGTTATCCCAATCACACAACTACATAAGGCATTAGTATGTAGCAATGACAAAGGTGAAACTGAAACATGAGTCAACATCCAAAAGAAAGTCTAGACCACAAAGATGTATAAACACAGACAAATTTCACCAAGATTCAAGTCTACGACAGGGAACTGGATAGCCGGTAGTAGAGTTGGTTTGCAATGTTGACTATCTTCCTTGAATTTTTTTTTTTTTTTTTTTTTTCCTGAACCTAAACACTCGTTTTTTAAGTCATCTGCACTGTAGTTTTTGCATTTCTGTGCTGTGCGTTTGAAGTGGGAGAGCCAGATTTTACTTTATAAAACACCTTAAAAGTTTAAAGAGTAACCCAGCACTACATAATTGTCTACTGTAGGTTTCTACGGTTTCGTCGGCAAAAACTATGGGTAGTGTTTGCGTGTGTGTGTGTCAGAGAGAGAGAGAGAGAGAGATTTTCTATGAATAAAAGACAAGTACATGACATGGTCGTCAACAAGCTCCCTTAGTAACTTGAGAAAAATATCATTTCAGTTGCTAAACAAATTTTAGTATAAACTAAAAGAATAAAAGGGGTGTCAATAAATAAAAGCTTATAAAGTTCAGTAAGATATCTAACAAAAACACATCCTATCACATAAAATGCTCATATACAGGCATGAAGCTCTTTCACAATATATTTTAGTAACAAAGTTATATCCAATGATTAAAAGAAACCAAGACAATCACCAGTAACTGCATAACTTATCTTGTCATCAATTTGAAGCGATGTAATTCAATGCAAAATAACCAATACGAAAAATAAGTTTTCTCAATATAATTAACAACCTTCCAATAACAGTCGCCATCAAAATGTGAACAAGAAAAAGACAAGAAGAATTTTCCCCTTACCTAATAAATTGCGAACTTTTTCTAGACCTTCTTCTGAGATGGGTCCATTAGGTGTAAGTGATGCTTTACACGCGTTGTAAAGCTTCTGAACAGCTGGCATTGTATGGAAACTAACCAAGAAAAGTTCTAAGAAGCTATTGTCGACTACAGCTGGGATTCTTAATTGAACCAAGTCTCAGGGTCCTCTGTTTCCTGAAGACCCTTCAGCTTACTTGCGAGACTGTATGAAAATAAACCGCAATCACACTCGGAATAACAATGCCTGCCAAATCGCCGTATCTACATAATTAATGCTTCTCTGTAAACAGCATCGCCTATTAAACAGCCGGAATGTTATCAGATTAACTGGAAATTCAATGAAAGTAAGTGCAACTCAGATACTGCAGAATCGGGTAGCTCCATAAAAACTGACAAATTCAATGAAACTAAAATAGTGGAAGAATATTTGCGTGGCAAAATATGGATGCCGCCATATTAACTCAAATTGATCAGAATTGGGAATAATACAACACTTGCTGACATGAATCGGAACGAAGCTTGAATTAAAACAATAAAAGACAACGGAAAGGCATGAACGAAAACAAAAAACAAAGGTCACAAACAAATAAATTACAAATTCAACACAATATAACAGAATTACACAGAAAAAGCATAGCATAAACACATCGCGGTCACTTTCATGTACGCGCAGAATAAGAAGAAGAGAAGGAGGTCTTACTGTGAAGATGAAATCGCAGCGGGTTGTTTAGATATTAGCAAAGATCGATCGATCGATCGATCCCTGTCGTACAGAGTCGGAGATGCAGCTGTATGAATATGGGTCTTTTTTTGGTTAAGGGATTGGGGGAATAAAGGAATTTGGAAAAAGTTTCGGGGTCCAGCGAAAGATCAGTCGGAGCTGGATGTATTATTATTATTATTATTATTATATTATTATTATTATTATTATTATTATCATCATCATCATCATCATCATCGTGGTCATCGTTTAGGTCACACTCTGGTGAGAATATTACCCAGTGAAAGAAACAAAAATACATCGTAAGCATTGAATCGGATAATCCAACGACTTATAAGAAAGCAAAAAATATACTTCCATTAAGGTCATTAGTGTAATTTTCCACACCACATCTAAAAGATGAGACCCAATCCAAATCCCCATCCAC